GAATTATTTCGGGAAATTTACAAGTTAAATAACCTAAAAGGCTGCAGATGCAAATGACATGAAATCGGCAAGGGCCGGGGGAGACAAACAGACGGCAGAATCGCAGAGCCAAGGAGGGGCACAGGACTGTGCTGGGGAGTTATTGTCACAAGCCAGGGTCACACGGTAAGAGGGAACCTCAGGTGGGAGAAAAAGCTACAGACTGGCCTGTCCGAAAGTCTGCGGGACATTTTCTTGATTAACAATTCACCAGAAAGGGCCCGGCATGTTGTGGGTGGTCCTGAGTGCCACTGCCTTGGGGTCCCTGCCCTGTGTGAGTTCCTGCCCTGCCCTCCTCCGGTAATGGCCTGTGATCAGGAGCTGTACGCCAAGTAACCCTCCCCTCCCGTGAATTGCTTTTGGTAGTGGCGATGGTCACAGTGACAGAAAGCAAACTAAGACAGCACCCCAGCCCATAGTGTGGCAGCTTAGGCTCCAGCACAGCAGATCTCACATCTGCGGTGACTACACATTACAGAACTCCAGTGCCATGTTTTCTTTTGTTTTTTAAAAAAGTTGTTTTATAGCCTGGCCTGACAGCATGCGCCTGTGATCCCAGCTCCAGAAAGGCTGAGACAGGAGGATCCCTGGGGGCTTGCTGAGCAGCCAATCCAGATGAACTGGCCAGTTCCAGGCGAGAGAGCCTATTCCCAAAGTAAGCTGGAAAGGGGCTGGCGAGATGGCTCAGGGGTTAAGAATGCTGTCTGGCAGAGCTCTGTGCCCACTGCCTACACTGGGCAGCTCACCACTGCCTGTATGAGGGAGACCCTCACACCTCTGGCCTCCACAGACACCTCACTCCTGTGTGTTTACTCAGACAGATAATTAAAAATAATGAAGAAGGAAAAAGAGCTAGGCATGGTGGAGCACACCTTTAACCCCAGCGCTTGGAAGGTAGATGTAGGCAGCTCTCTCTGAGTTCCAGGCCAGCCTGGTCTACAGAGCAAGTTCCAGGACAACCAGGGCTACACAGAGAAACCCTATCTTGAAAATCAAAACAATCAAAAAAATATAAAACAAAAAATTTTAAAGTTAAAAAAATAAAGTGAAGAGTGACTGAGGCAGACAGTTGACATCAACCTCTGGACACTATACATGCATGCTCACCTGCACGTGTACATTTGTACACACACGTGAACGAACACACACACACACACACACACACACACACACACACACACACAAAGGGGCATGAGACGGGCCAGCTGCTTCCAGGAGCTGACCCAGCCCCAATCAGCATTTACTGCTGGCCGCCCTTACCAGCAATCTTTTCAGCAAGTGGAAACCCAGGCATTCTCTCTGAGACCTTCCCGCATTGCGGGGAGGGACTGGACCTAAGGACCCGACTTGGAGAATCAGTGATCATCTTTAAAACTTGCTCCTTCGGCAGAAGCTTAAACCCAGTTAACCACGGCGGTTAAGTCCCACTTTGCAAACAGCACACATACCTCTTTCTACAACTGGATAATACCCCATAATGACCCCCGGGACTGAGCAAGTGACCTTCAGATGGAAGGGGCTCTAGACTGTGTCTGGGCCAGCAGGGTCGAGGAGAACCCCTAAGCAGGGCCCCCTGCCCTTCAGCTCTTGGGGAAGCAGGTAGGAGAAAGGCTTTGCCTGCTTATCAGCCGTACCTAGTGCCTGAGGCTCCTTAACCGCTGTGGTGGGGCTTCGATCAGGCTGAACACAGGGGCAGGGCATTGCTTTCACTGTACGAGTCTCAGATAAGGAAGCTGCCTGCCACAGGTGGGTCTGGACCAGCCCTGGGATAGGCCCCCACCTTCCTGGGGCCTCCTGAGTAGTCAGCACTTGGGGGTCATTACAAACTGAATGAGGTGCAGCGTGCAGCTCTGCTCTCCAAGGGCCCACGCTAGCTAGCTTGACCATGCTGGATACATTCCACCCACTGCCCAGAGATGTAAGGAGATCCAGCTAGCACTCTGTTGTGTTCACACACAGGTTGGTCCCAACCGGCAAAAAAAAAAAAAAAGAAAAAGAAAAAGAAAAAAAAGCCACTGTCACATGCCATGCCACTCACTGAGTACTGTCCAGGACTTTTCAATCTGCACACGTGAGATAATTAGTTCTGGGAGATTTTTGTATATTTTAATTTTTTTCTCCTATTTTTAAAGTCATCGTCCTTGGTTCACTGACAGTGAGGTGAAAAGAGCCATGCAGGTCCCTAGGGCCCGGGGCCTTAGGATCAGACGCACGTCCTGAGAGAACACGGCTGGGCTAGGGTGCCAAGAAAGCGTCTAGGGTGGTGCTAGATGCACCAAATGGGCCTGAGGCTGCAGCTGCTCAGTTGCTTCTCCAAAGCCGGTGCAAGACCCAAGCCAAGCGCCAAGCGGGTCTGGCGCTCCCCAGAGACTCGTTCCCAAGGTGGACGCCAGGTGGCGCCAGAGGCCGCGCAGCCGCAAGTCCCAAACTCTCCCCTGTACTGGAGGGGAGTCCCTGCTTTCAAAGAAGAAATTCTTATTTATACAAAAGAAGACAGATTAGCACAGTGAAAACGCTAACCATTATTTCATCTGTAAATATCAGTTCCTAACTCAATAAAACAAGCACCTTTCCCCCAGCATTTTTAATGTGTGTGTGAGTGAGAGACAGAGAGACAGAGGCAGAGACAGAGAGAGGGGGCAGAGAGATTGATTTCTCCTCAGTGTCTCTTTCCAGGCCATTCTTTGTGGCATATGGAACCCACCTGGGCTATCTGGACTAGTCTCCCTGTGCTGACATCCTTAATTTAAGCTCTACTGCAAACACCTTTGCCAAGCCTAGGCATGGGCCACGCTGTTAAGACCTGATGTGTTTGGGAGCCACAAGCAGCAGATTTTGGAGAGGTGAGTGACTGGCTCAGGGTATAGATGAGTCAGTGAAGTGATCGCCAATGGCCTCTCCTGGTCTCCTCAAGGACTCTGATCTCTTCACCACAACTGAGGCTTCACCTTTACTAGTGGCCTCTTGGCCTCTTTGCAGAGATTCCAACACCACGATACGGTGCCAAGCCTCAGCTGCTCTCCGAGATCCCTTCACACCTTCAAAGCCAGTAACGTGGGAGACCCTTCTATGTCACCAAATTCAGCAACAAGCTGGAGACGAAGCCTTAGGCCCCTCTGGACCACAGCCTCTGTGTGCTGACCCTGAGAACATGTCTCAGATTTTTACCCCGATGATACTTGTCTCTTCTTCATCAAAGCCGAGTTCTCAGCCCCAGCTAACCAGCACTGATTGTCCCAGTCACACAAAAGTTCACCCAGTGCTGCTGCTCTCTGGTCAACCACAGCTGACTCTTCAGCCAAAGCTGACCAGAACCACAGATTCTTTTTTGTTTTGGCTTTTTTCGAAACAGGATTCTTCTGTGTAGCCCTGGCTGTCCTGAAACTCACTCTGTACACCAGGCTGGCCTAGAACTCAGAGATCTGCCTGCCTCTGCCTCCAGAGTGTTGGGATTAAAGGCATGGGCCACCACCACCTGGCAAACCACAGATTATTATTTAAACTTTCTATTGATTCTTTGTGAATTTTACATCATGCATCCCAATCCCTCTCTCCAGCACTGTTCTGGCTAGCTCACCCAGTGCCACAGCCAGCAAGGAGGCAGGGCCAGCTCACCCTTGCCTTCACCACCGGGGTCAGCTCTACTGTGCCCAATGGAGGTGCCCAGCCTGCTCTCAGAAGTACTGCAGCCAGTGAGGGGTAGGGCCAGCTCTCCTGCTCTCCTGACCTCAGGGGCCCAGCTCTCCCACCTGCCCCAGGGGTAAGGGGAGTGGTACAGGTGTGACACACGGTAGCCTCTTAAGTCAAAATCTCCACTAACAGCCCAATGGATTCTTTGCTTCCCTCTGAGCCATCACAGGCCAGGCCTCCATCGTCTGTACTGCCCTCAGCATTGTTTTCCGGGCTCTGAGCACTCAATGGGTTTTCCTAGTCCAAAGCTCCAAATGCTTCCACAATCCTCCCCAAAACACGTGGTCAGGTCTGTCACAGCAATAGTCCATGTCTGGTACCAGTTTCTGTCCTAGTTTCCTTTCTGTGGCTGTGATAAAACACTGATCAAAACCAAATAATGGATGAAAAGGTTTATTTGGCTTTTGTGTCACTGTGGGAAGTCATGGCAGGAACTCCGGCAGGAGCAGAGGCAGAAAGCGTGGCGGGACACTGCTTGGTCCTCCTCATGGCTTGCTGAGTCTGCTTTCTTAAACCAGCCGGAACTACGTGCCCCAGGATAGTACCATCCACAGTGATCTGGACCCTCCCACACCAACCATCAATCAAGATCATCAATCATCAATGCCCTCAGACATGCCCCCAGGCCACTCTGACGGTGGCAGTTCCTCAACTGAGGTCCCCTCCTTCCCAGGTAAACTACTTTGTGACAAAAACTAACCAGTGAAGCCACCCAACAAAATCAAACATGGAAGAAGGAATGACTCCATTGCTGGGTATGGACTGCTGTGATATCACACAGGGGCATTCAGGGAGGGTGTCCTTCCCCACAGAGGAACATGTCACTGTTAGAGCAGGACAGCCAGCAAGGCATGGGGAGCACCACCTGATGACCTAGTTCCCTCACACACGCATGCGCGTGCACACACAGCATGAATTCTTCATGCAATACCTATGCAATGTGTAAACACATATTCCACCCGAAAGGACCCCTATGCTTCCCCACTCACACTGACACACATGCACACACACAGACACAAGAAACACCTCCCAATCTAGCTGGGTTTTTTTTTTCCCTTTGCTTTGTTTTTTTTTTTTTTTCGTTTTTTTTCATTCACATTCATTGTGTATGTGTAGTTGTTCTCCAGTACATCAGCCAAGGAGCTGTCTCATAATAATTCACATGTGTCCAAGATGGGAGAAAACCAGGCAAATGTCTCACGGTCGCATCCTGGTTTCCGCGGGATCCTAAGATGGCGGAGGTAGAGCTCTACCCGCGTGCCCTGTTCCCTTCACCTGTACTCTGGATGGTTCTGCAGACAGGATAGCAGCTCTCCGACAGGCCTGCCCTCGTGGCAGATCTGATAGATCGCTGTGAACAATGGGAACTTGTGCAGGAGCCCCTTCTTCTTGAGGATGTGGTACGTCTGAGCGGAGGTGCGCGGCCCTTGTACCTTCTGTCCGTTCAGCAACTCCTTCTCCAACTGTTGAATACTCTTTCCTGTCCTGGCGAAGGCTTCAGCTACCCTGCGGTTCCGCCCCCCGTAGCAGGAGCTGACGAGGTCAGCCACCCCACAGCTCTCCAGGAACGTGGCTGTGGACACCTGGTCCTTGCAGAAAGCTCTGGCGAAGGCAATTATCTCCATGAGGCCCAGGCGGATGACAGCAGCCTTGGTGCTGTCTCCGCAACAGATGCTGTCGCAGAAGCCGGCCCCCAGGGAGACGACGTTCTTTAGAGCCCCACACAGCTCCACTACCTCTGCCTCTTTCACCACGGTGACTCGGAATTTGGGGGTCTCCAGCAGCTCTTTGAAGAGAAGGCCGTTCTGGAACACCTTGCTGCCGATGGTAGTCTCGCAGAACTGCTCTTCGGCCACCTCGTTGGCTATGTTGGCCCCCATCAGCACACTGACGTCTATCTCCACCTTCTCTCGGATGATGTCGGAGATCAGCTTCAGGCCCTCAGGGCCCTCCTCTATGCCCTTGATGAGGGACAGGCCCAGGGCCTTCTTGGGCACGATGCCAGCAATCTCATCACAGACTGTTCGAATGAACTGGTTGGGGGAGGCAAACACCAGCAGGTCGGCGTCCTGCACAGCCTGGCTGAGGCTCGGCGTGGCCACCACATTCTCCGGCAGCCTGTGTCCAGGCAGGTACTTTACATTTTCATGGTCACTGTTGATGATCTCCGTCAGCTTCCTCCCATTGACCGTTTCTTCAAATACCCACATCTTGACTGTGGAGGCGAACTTCTTTTCGTTCTTCACATTGCTCCCAATGATTTTTGAAATGACTGATCCCCAGTTCCCTGAGCCCAGGATGGACACCTTCAGGGGCTTGGCCACCACTTCTAGGCTGGCATCCTGCGGTGCACACGGTGTCTTCCTAGCTGACTGCTGATCACAAACTGCACGGTCTAGCCTGCAGGCACCCTGCCTCCCAACCTGCACAAAAAGGACATTTACGACCCGAGGGTGGTAGTTCATGCCTGTAATTCCAGCACACGGAAGTTCAGAGAACTGACTCAAGTTCAAGGACAGCTTGAGTTGCAGAGTGAGACTATCTGAAAACAAATAAGATAAATGAAGATTTAAAAAAGGAAGGCTGAATGCAGCTCAGCTGGTAGAGTGCTTGGGTTGTGCTTGAGGTCCTGGGCTCTAGCCCCAGTACTGCCTCAGCTGGGTGCGGTAGTGAATGCTTGTGATCCCAGCAGTGGGGAGAGAGGCAGGAGGGACAGAAGTTCAAGGTCAGCCTCAGCTCCAAATAGAAGTTGAAGCCAATCAGGGATACATGTCTCAAAATAAGTAAATGAACAAATAAATAAACCAAGTAAAAAGACATTTACAAGGGTACTTGATGTTTAAGTGTTGCATATTTGATGAAATTGAGAAAACATGTGATTTTTTAAAAGCATGATTATGACAGCAATATGTTTATAGATGCATTTGTTTTGAGGCAGGCTCTCCTGTTTTCCAGGCTAGCCTTGAACTTTCTATGTAGTGGAGGATAACCTTGAACTTCCAATAGTCCTATGTTCACCGTGGGAGCACTGTATTTGTAAGCATACAGCACCATACCTGGTATACACGGTTCTGGGGAACCCCAGAGCTTCACGAATGCTGGGCAAGCACTCTATCGGCTGAGCCACATCCCCAGCCCTGACCAGGTATAGATTGTAAAAAGAACGGATGGTGATGCAAGTCTTTAGTCCCAGCTCCCAGGAGGCAAGGACAGATGGATCTCTGTGAAGTTGAGGCCAGCCTGGTTTACATAGCAAGCTAGAGCCTTTACCTTTAGGAGACAGTGTGTGCATGTGTGTGGAGGCCAGAGGTTGTCATTAGGTTCCTTCCTCAGTTGATTTCCACCTTATTTTTAGAAGACAGGCTCTGTCAATAGATCTGGAGCTCGCTGATGAGGCTAGACTGGCTGGTCAGCATGCCCCACGGCCTTCTGTCTCCACCTCCCCGGTGATGGGATCAAAAGGGGCTTTTGATGTGGGATGCAAACTCAGGTCCTCATGCTTGCCTGGAAAGCACTTTATCAACGGACCTATCTCTTCATTCACAGTCATTTTTTTAAGGGTTAAGAATATTAGCTGGCAGCAGGACACTTACTTAGCATCTGCGAGGCCCTGGGTTCATTCTCTAGCCCTGGGGGGGGGGGGTTAAAATTAAAACAAACAAAATATAAAGACACAGGGTCCATCCCAGAATTACTAATCAGCCCAGATTGATGCCTGCTGCTAGCGTCTCTCCCTCAGGGGCCACTAGGGGGGCGCATGAGCCTGAGCAAGGCATTTTGAGGAGCGAGGCCGAATCCGCAGGCTCGAGGCTGCAGGGGCGGGTGGTAATGTCCCTCGGTTTCCCTTCTCCCAGCAGCTTACCCGTGCCCCTCCCTTCCCCACTCGCCTCTCTGACTGAAGAGTGAGGACCACCCCAGACATGAACAAGACTCACCTCAGACCACACCCCTGCCTGCTGGAGGCAGACACACTCTGGAGTTTAGGGACAGGAAACCCCGCAGATTTATGGGAGCCGCCTAGATATCCTTGAGATTCTGGAGCTGAGGGGAAGGTTCTAGCTGTGTCCTCAACCCGAGATGGTACTGCCTCAGTCTCCTTGGCCTTTTGGGAAGAGGGAAAAGCAACCAAACAGAAAGCTGCATTTAATGGCTCCACTTCAGCAGTCTTTCCCTCCCCCTCCCCCCACCCCGAGATAAGGTTTTTCAGTGTAGCCATGGCTGTCCTGGAACTCACTCTGAACTCAGAAATCTCCTGCCTCTGTCTCCTGAGTGTTCGGACTAAAGGTGTATGCCACCACTGTCTAGCGCATTTCAGCGGTCTTAAAGTGTGAGAGAACCGGGCAGAAAGAATGTGAACCTCCACGATTTGTGGTGGATGATTTTGACCTTTGACCTGATTGGATGGAGAATCACCCAGGAGATTAGTGAAGCTCTCTGGGTCAGGGCATTTCTGGGGAGGATTAATCGAGGAAGAACCCCGGCCGTGAATGTACTTGGGACCATCCTGTAGGGTGGGGACATAAACAGAACAAAGTGTGTGGCAGGGGGACCTGACAGTGAGTATTCTTTCCGTTTCCTGTCCTCCAGCAAGTGAGCTGCTTCTCACCATGTTCCCAATCGCTTCAAGGACCTGCCCAAAGCGAAGAAGCTAACGGACCATGGAAAGGACGCCTCTGAATCCGTGAGCCAAAATAAGCCGTTACTTTCTTGTTTTCTCAGGTGTATTCTCACAGTGATAAAGACAGCTTCAGCGTGAGACGTTTAGTGTGTTAAGGGCACTTGCCACCAAGTCTGGGAACCTGAACCGCATCTCCAGGATCTACACCGTGGGATGAGAGCCAGTTCTCACAGGGTGTCCTCTGACCTCACACAGGTGTCATGATTGCACACACACACACACACACACACACACACACACACACGATGAGATTAAAAAAAGAAAGAAAGAACCCTCTAACTAGCACTGGCTTCCAGCTAGTAAGCTGTGAGACTGGGGTAAGCCCAGCACAGAGCAGCAGCCTGCACAAAGCCTGAAGCCCATGTTTAACCAGGCCAAGATGACTTGGCCATGTTCCATTTGTCTGCCACTGTAACACTAGGACATAGTATCACCCGCAGCCTCTTTTTCAAATACAGTGCCCAGAACACTACCAGACACAGTCTTAAAGAGGGAGGTAGTGAATAAAACATCAGGATAGACACCTGCCCAGATACCTATAAAAAGATGTTCGGCATTTCCGGTCACTAAGAAAGATGAAAACAAAATTTAAACAAGTTATCACGGCACATCTAGAGAAACAGCCAAGATAAGATTGACTCCAGCGACCCTTGGCAGAGCTGCAGAGCAGAGGGGACCCTCACACACTACTGATGACAGGGAACAAGAGCTCGGTAGTTCATGGAAAGGTGAAAACACATACTCTGTAAGCCACTTGCCTCATGTGACAAAATGACTGAGATAACTCAAAAGGAGGCAAAAATTCTTTTGGCTCACAGTTTCAGAAACTTAATCGTGGTCAGAAGGCTCTGTTATAGCTGTTTCTTGGTGAGTCATCGCGGTGGGAGGGCTTGGTGGAAGGAAACTGCTCACCTCATGACCACCAGGAGGCAGACACAGAGAGGAGGGGGCCAGGGCCAAGATACACCCTTTAAAGGCATAGTCTCCAGTGACCTGCCTCCTCCAACTAGGTCCTACCTCACTCAACTATGAAGTCATAAATGGTTTCGTTCCCCTGATAAGTTCAGAGCCCTTATTGAGAGACCAAAGGATTAAAAATCAGTGTCTATTATTTTAAAGTTTAAAGCCTGAACTAAGGCCAGCCAAGTGGAGATATGTCTAGCCACCTTTGGGGAAGAACTAGCCTTAATGTCCTGAGGGGAAGAATTAGCCTTATTGCATTCTTTCCTGTGCACTAGAGATACAGTTGCTAGGAAACTGGCCCCTCCCCCCTAGGAAGGGAAGCCAGACCACTAATAGTTTGGGGACCTTCCTATAGCCAATCAATTAGAAATGCAACATCCCTTTTGTGTTTGGACCAATAGATGCTTGCCAGGCAGGAATCCTCTTGCTCTGGGCATGCTGGGGAGGGACTGGAATCTTTAAATCATCCAACCAACCCGAGCACTGATTCGGCAAGTGAGTGTGTGTGAGCCCAAGCTGTAGCTAGTAATAAAAAGATCCTCATGTGTTTTGCAACGGACTTGACTCCTGGTGGTGGTCTTTTGGGGCCTTGTGATTCAGGCATCACATTATGATCCAGTCATGTCCCCAGAGCCTATTACCTGCCAATGAAACTCTTACTGTAGGAGACTTCTGAGAACATTTTAGGTTCAAACAAGAACATGTACCTCTCATAGGATTCACCTATTTCTCATCCAAGCATTTGTACAAACAACAGGGAGACGAGGTTCTACAAATAGACAAATAGAGTAGCTCAGGGACACTTTTAAAATAGTTTTAAACTGGAAGTAACTCAAATTTTCATCAAAGGCAGATACATAGTATTTATCAGCAATAAAAAAAAAACAAACAAGCTATTGATACATTCAATTATACAGTAACTTCCAAAATAATGCCCCCGGAAAGAAGCAAAACGAAGAGTGATACCAGGTGCTCTGCCTTCTAGAAAATTCAGTTTAATGATAATTCAGTGGTTACCTAGAGATGACGGGATAGGAAATTCATAAATTACTAAAAGACAAGGAAACGTACATGATGATGGATATATTCATTCTCCATCTTGATTATGATGATGGTAAAAGTCATCAATTTACATATTTTAAATATTTTCAATTTAGTGTGTCTCAATTATCTTTCAATAAAACTGTTACAAAAAAAATACTAGACATACTAAAAACAAGACTTGCTTACACAAAACCAAAGGAAGAGCAGAAAATAGCAATAGACTCCTAGGTGATCTAGACACATTTTTAAATGAATTGCTTAGCTGGGTGTAGTGGTGAGTGCTGGCCTTTCTGATTGGGTGGGAAGGTGTCAAGGAAACCCATAACTCAGAGGCTGGGAAGGTATCCTAGCTCTGAGGTGGGGTAGTGTCCCAAGGAAAGAGTATCCTGTGACACGGAGGCCCAGGAACCATCCAGGTCTGAGAGGAGGCCTCAGCACAGAGGTTTCGGCTCTCAGGGGAGGGTTACCCCAACCCCTGATGGGCTGAGGAGCCTAGCAAGCTAAGCTCCAGTCCTCCTTCCCTTCTTCTTTCTTCTCTTTTCCTTTGCTTCTTCCGATGAGAGAGTCACATCAGGCAGTGAATTTCTTAAAAGAGATTTCTTAAAGGGTTGAATCCAGGAGAGGAGGGATACATCCAGAAGTGGCTGCCTCTTCTCCCAAGTGAAGACAGCAGAGAACTGGGCAAACACAGCCTTTATATAGAGTTTTTTTTTTTTTTTTAAGGGCATAGCTTTCTAGGGCAGAGAGTTCCAGGGTGAGGATTGGTGGGATTTCAAGTCC